ACCCTCTACTTCTTGTCTCCCATCTGCTGCCAGTCCCATATCTAGAGGACTGATGTCTGACCACAGTAACTCACAGTAACTCTGGTGTCTACTGACTCTACCCTCTACTTCTTGTCTCCCATCTTCTGCCAGTCCCATATCTAGAGGACTGATGTCTGACCACAGTAACTCTGGTGTCTACTGACTCTACCCTCTACTTCTTGTCTCCCATCTGCTGCCAGTCCCATATCTAGAGGGCTGATGTCTGACCACAGTAACTCTGGTGTCTACTGACTCTACCCTCTACTTCTTGTCTCCCATCTGCTGCCAGTCCCATATCTAGAGGACTGATGTCTGACCACAGTAACTCACAGTAACTCTGGTGTCTACTGACTCTACCCTCTACTTCTTGTCTCCCATCTGCTGACAGTCCCATATCTAGAGGACTGATGTCTGACCACAGTAACTCTGGTGTCTACTGACTCTACCCTCTACTTCTTGTCTCCCATCTTCTGCCAGTCCCATATCTAGAGGACTGATGTCTGACCACAGTAACTCTGGTGTCTTCTGACTCTACCCTTTACTTCTTGTCTCCCATCTGTTGCCAGTCCAATATCTAGAGGACTGATGTCTGACCACAGTAACTCCGGTGTCTAATGACTCTACCCTCTACTTCTTGTCTCCCATCTGCTGCTAGTCCCATATCTAGAGGACTGATGTCACAGTAACTCACAGTAACTCACAGTAACTCTGGTGTCTTCTGACTCTACCCTCTACTTCTTGTCTCCCATCTGCTGCCAGTCCCATATCTAGAGGACTGATGTCTGACCACAGTAACTCTGGTGTCTACTGACTCTACCCTCTACTTCTTGTCTCCCATCTGCTGCTAGTCCCATATCTAGAGGACTGATGTCTGACCACAGTAACTCTGGTGTCTCTGTCTCCCATCTGCTGACTCTAGAGGGACTGATGTCTGACCTCTACTTCTTGTCTCCCATCTCCCATCTGCTGCCAGTCCCATATCTAGAGGACTGATGTCTGACCACAGTAACTCTGGTGTCTACTGACTCTACCTCTACTTCTTGTCTCCCATCTGCTGCCAGTCCCATATCTAGAGGACTGATGTCTGACCACAGTAACTCACAGTAACTCTGGTGTCTACTGACTCTACCCTCTACTTCTTGTCTCCCATCTGCTGCTAGTCCCATATCTAGAGGACTGATGTCTGACCACAGTAACTCTGGTGTCTACTGACTCTACCCTCTACTTCTTGTCTCCCATCTGCTGCCAGTCCCATATCTAGAGGACTGATGTCTGACCACAGTAACTCTGGTGTCTACTGACTCTACCCTCTACTTCTTGTCTCCCATCTTCTGCCAGTCCCATATCTAGAGGACTGATGTCTGACCACAGTAACTCTGGTGTCACTGACTCTACCTCTACTTCTTGTCTCCCATCTGTTGCCAGTCCCATATCTAGAGGACTGATGTCTGACCACAGTAACTCCTGGTGTCTTCTGACTCTACTCTACCTCTACTTCTTGTCTCCCATCTGCTGCTAGTCCCATATCTAGAGGACTGATGTCTGACCACAGTAACTCACAGTAACTCTGGTGTCTTCTGACTCTACCCTCTACTTCTTGTCTCCCATCTGCTGCCAGTCCCATATCTGCCAGTCCCATATCTAGAGGACTGATGTCTGACCACAGTAACTCTGGTGTCTACTGACTCTACCTCTACTTCTTGTCTCCCATCTGCTGCTAGTCCCATATCTAGACCACAGGGCTGATGTCTGACTAGAGGACACAGTAACTCTGGTGTCTACTGACTCTACCTCTACTTCTTGTCTCCCATCTGCTGCCAGTCCCATATCTAGAGGACTGATGTCTGACCACAGTAACTCACAGTAACTCTGGTGTCTACTGACTCTACATCCTCTACTCTGACTTGTCTCCCATCTGCTGCCAGTCCCATATCTAGAGGACTGATGTCTGACCACAGTAACTCTGGTGCCAGTCTACTGACTCTACCCTCTACTTCTTGTCTCCCCATCTTCTGCTGTTAGTCCCATATCTAGAGGACTGATGTCTGACCACAGTAACTCTCAGTAACTCTGGTGTCTACTGACTCTACTCTGGTGTCCTGACTCTACTTACTTGTCTCCCATCTGCTGCCAGTCCCATATCTAGAGGACTGATGTCTGACCACAGTAACTCTGGTGTCTTACTGACTGACTCTACCTCTACTTCTTGTCTCCCATCTTCTGCCAGTCCCATATCTAGAGGACTGATGTCTGACCACAGTAACTCTGGTGTCTTCTGACTCTACCCTCTACTTCTTGTCTCCCATCTGCTGCCAGTCCCATATCTAGAGGACTGATGTCTGACCACAGTAACTCACAGTAACTCTGGTGTCTACTGACTCTACCCTCTACTTCTTGTCACCCATCTGCTGCTAGTCCCATATCTAGAGGACTGATGTCTGACCACAGTAACTCTGGTGTCTACTGACTCTACAGTCCTCTGTCTACTTCTTGTCTCCCATCTGCTGCTAGTCCCATATCTAGAGGACTGATGTCTGACCACAGTAACTCTGGTGTCTACTGACTCTACCCTCTACTTCTTGTCTCCCATCTGCTGCTAGTCCCATATCTAGAGGACTAATGTCTGACCACAGTAACTCTGGTGTCTACTGACTCTACCCTCTACTTCTTGTCTCCCATCTTCTGCTAGTCCCATATATAGAGGACTGATGTCTGACCACAGTAACTCACAGTAACTCTGGTGTCTACTGACTCTACCCTCTACTTCTTGTCACCCATCTGCTGCTAGTCCCATATCTAGAGGACTGATGTCTGACCACAGTAACTCTGGTGTCTACTGACTCTACCCTCTACTTCTTGTCTCCCATCTGCTGCTAGTCCCATATCTAGAGGACTGATGTCTGACCACAGTAACTCTGGTGTCTACTGACTCTACCCTCTACTTCTTGTCTCCCATCTGCTGCTAGTCCCATATCTAGAGGACTGATGTCTGACCACAGTAACTCTGGTGTCTTCTGACTCTACCCTCTACTTCTTGTCTCCCATCTGCTGCCAGTCCCATATCTAGAGGACTGATGTCTCACCACAGTAACTCTGGTCTCTACTGACTCTACCCTCTACTTCTTGTCTCCCATCTGCTGCCAGTCCCATATCTAGAGGGACTGATGTCTGTCCCACAGTCTGACCACAGTAACTCTGGTGTCTTCTGACTCTACCCTCTACTTCTTGTCTCCCATCTGCTGCCAGTCCCATATTGAGAGGACTGATGTCTGACCACAGTAACTCTGGTGTCTACTGACTCTACCCTCTACTTCTTGTCTCCCATCTGCTGCCAGTCCCATATCTAGAGGACTGATGTCTGACCACAGTAACTCACAGTAACTCTGGTGTCTACTGACTCTACCCTCTACTTCTTGTCTCCCATCTTCTGCCAGTCCCATATCTAGAGGACTGATGTCTGACCACAGTAACTCTGGTGTCTACTGACTCTACCCTCTACTTCTTGTCTCCCATCTGCTGCCAGTCCCATATCTAGAGGACTGATGTCTGACCACAGTAACTCACAGTAACTCTGGTGTCTACTGACTCTACCCTCTACTTCTTGTCTCCCATCTGCTGCCAGTCCCATATCTAGAGGACTGATGTCTGACCACAGTAACTCTGGTGTCTACTGACTCTACCCTCTACTTCTTGTCTCCCATCTGCTGCCAGTCCCATATCTAGAGGACTGATGTCTGACCACAGTAACTCTGGTGTCTACTGACTCTACCCTCTACTTCTTGTCTCCCATCTGCTGCCAGTCCCATATCTAGAGGACTGATGTCTGACCACAGTAACTCTAGTGTCTACTGACTCTACCCTCTACTTCTTGTCTCCCATCTGCTGCCAGTCCCATATCTAGAGGACTGATGTCTGACCACAGTAACTCTGGTGTCTACTGACTCTACCCTCTACTTCTTGTCTCCCATCTGCTGCAACAACAGGTCCTTATACTTCTGGTTATGAATGACTGACTGACTGACTGAGTTTGGTTTTACGCCGCTTTTAGCAATATTCCCACAACATCACGGCGGGGGACACCAGAAGTAGGCTTCACACATTGTACCCATGTGGGGATTCGAACCCGGATCTTCGGCGTGATGAGCCAACACTTTAACCATTAGGCTACCCCACCGCCCCGGTTGTGAATGAGGGTAAGGGAGTATGAGAATAGTGACTTTATGAGTTTGTGAAAATGAAGGAATGAGAGTCAATAGATATATTTTTCCTCTTCTAAACTATTAGATCATAACCTTTATTCTTGATTGGTGTCGAGCTTGGATGCCCATTAGACTGCCCCTTAGTTCACCCAGGCTTGTCACTGGTTTGTCTGGTCCAGACTTGATTGTTTAGGAAGCTGCTATCATGTAGCTGGAAAATTGCTGAATGCAGAATTAAGCAAGGAAGGATTTTTTAGAAGTATTTCTCAAATTTAGAGCCATTTATATAATTATTTGTTTATTACATTTTCAGTGAATCAACCTGTGATAACAATAATAATAATAATAATAATAATAGCATAAACATCATATTCTCCGGAAAGTTCTTGGTGGGTTCGACTCGGCGGCGCTTCCAGGGAGAAGCTGTTTGGGCTACGTGTAGAGGGGGCGAGGGCCCTGAGGTGATGATGAGCCTTACCAGCCTGACTGTGCCAGGATCACCTGAACCCTCTCTGCTGCATTTTTATCTTTATTCTGTAAAACATAAACATGAAATGAAAATATACATATTTAATACATTAGAAAACAGATGCGGATACAAGATCGTGGCAGAACAACCTGGATTGCTGAGAGACTGTAACACTAACTATTCTTTTATTTTCAAACAAATCGTCAAGTCAGGAGATTGTTGCCCTAAAGGTTACCATGACGGCTCGTCCAGTATCTGCACGAGAGGGACTATAAAGGTTTTATTACATGTATCCCATCTTTTTCACTCAGTGGTTATGCACGGCCAGATGAGCCCAGCAGCTGGTGCACAAGCTTATCCGGCTCGAGGTCCAGGTTCAATTCCCCATATAGGTAAATCACATCATGTTTAGTCATTATATAACATCCTAAAAACTGTTTAATAGTTTTAAAAGTGACTCTCTGTTTATTTTCTGGTAATTTCTGTGTAATGGACATGAAGTAACCTTATTTGTGAACAAATATACATTTTCTCTCTCCTTTTTCTTGTCGTCCTAATTGTTACAATTCTGAAATCTTTTCTAATACCTATACTCAAGTGTGTGCGTATCTTGGCTTGGATGTGCAAATGAAATGTGTTCCTGGAATCTGATTGTTTTATCCTCATTGATTGTTACTCAATGTCAAGGTTAAATGTCATGTTATGATGTCATGTTATGATGTCATGTTAAGATGTCATGCACAAGCCCCATCTCATGCTCTTTGAACACATATTTGGTACCTCATGTGCTTTCACAGTCAGGCATACTTTCTCTGAAACTTTCCCATTAAACTTTGCAAATGGACCTGATGTCAATATTTTTCTAGTCTCACACAGAATGGGAATCTTCTTTTGCGAGGTGGCTGCTTCTTCCTGTCTCTGTTGAAGGTTGAAAGTGTGTTAAAGTGGAGCAGTTACTGTCTGAGTGAACGAGTATGATATGCATACTAATAATGTATGTGGTGCACAAGTTTTCATTCACATATGATATGCATGCACGACTTTGAACTCTTATGCTATATTTGTATATGGGACACCGTAGGAATTAATTTGTTACGCCATCTTCTTCTCAAATGAATTAAAATACAACTTTGGTGTTCTGGAGCATGTTGATCATTAGAAGATAATTATCTGTGAGTATAAATGAAATGATTTGTACAGCAGTTTTATGTATTTCTGTAATGAGAGCTGTTTTATATTAGTTCATTTGTTGACGGTTCCACTAGATTATCCGGAGCGGTGAAGTAGCCTAATGGTTAAAGCGTCTGCTCGCCGTGCTGAAGACCTGGGTTTGATTTTTAGTTATATTGCTGGAATACTGCTAAAAGCAGCATAAAACCACTCTCACTCTCACATGCTGGGGGGTTATATCATGGTGTGTATACTGCATGCATGACAATGTGTGACATCATGCAGTCAATGTGTGACACCATGCCGTCCATGGAGGACAGTGTGTGACATCATGCAGTCCATGGAGGACAGTGTGTGACATCATGCAGTCCATGGAGGACAGTGTGTGACATCATGCAGTCAATGCAGTCCATGGAGGTGTGACATCATGCAGTCCATGGAGGACAGTGTGTGACATCATGCAGTCCATGGAGGACAGTGTGTGACATCATGCAGTCCATGGAGGACAGTGTGTGACATCATGCAGTCCATGGAGGACAGTGTGTGACATCATGCAGTCCATGGAGGACAGTGTGACATCATGCAGTCCAGACAGTGTGTGACATCATGCAGTCCATGGAGGACAGTCCATGGAGGACAGTGTGTGACATCATGCAGTCCAGTCCATGGAGGACAGTGTGTGACATCATGCAGTCCATGGAGGACAGTGTGTGACATCATGCAGTCCATGGAGGACAGTGTGTGACATCATGCAGTCCATGGAGGACAGTGTGTGACATCATGCAGTCCATGGAGGACAGTGTGTGACATCATGCAGTCCATGGAGGACAGTGTGTGACATCATGCAGTCCATGGAGGACAGTGTGTGACATCATGCAGTCCATGGAGGACAGTGTGTGACATCATGCAGTCCATGGAGGACAGTGTGTGACATCATGCAGTCCATGGAGGACAGTGTGTGACATCATGCAGTCCATGGAGGACAGTGTGTGACATCATGCAGTCCATGGAGGACAGTGTGTGTGACATCATGCAGTCCATGGAGGACAGTGTGTGACATCATGCAGTCCATGGAGGACAGTGTGTGACATCATGCAGTCCATGGAGGACAGTGTGTGACATCATGCAGTCCATGGAGGACAGTGTGTGACATCATGCAGTCCATGGAGGACAGTGTGTGACATCATGCAGTCCATGGAGGACAGTGTGTGACATCATGCAGTCCATGGAGGACAGTGTGTGACATCATGCAGTCCATGGAGGACAGTGTGTGACATCATGCAGTCCAACATTTTTGAGTTTATGAAATATACAGCATAAAACAATGATTGTTTACTTGTATTCATTAACTAGAAGCAAGTCTCTCACAGTCAGAGTGTAAACAAACTTTTCAAGAATATCAAATATGGATCTTTTGGTAACTTAATTGTCCACCAAACTGGTCGAGATTGTCAAGGGTATACTTCACAATAATGATAACTTTATCTGGAGTGAATTGTTTTTTTCAATTATAATTTCAACACAACATACTGACTTGTATGAAATTTATCAATGATTCAAGAAATCATATGTACAGTTTCAGAAATTTAATAGGATATAAAGTTAAGAGGTCACAGTTTTATTGGTACACTCTGTGGCTTAGAGGATTTAGCAGATAATAATATGTTATCCATTGCCATAGCATTTTGTCGTTGTGGTCCCGAGTTGTTGTGACCACTATACTATATAAAGTTAAGACGTCACAGTTGTATTGGTACATTTCCTTGCTTAAAGGATATAGCAGATAATATCAGTCCCTCCTGGATTCCACGGTGAATTTTTAAGAATTCTGCGGTATATTTCAGTAAATTCTGTATCCCACTTTTCAAAATTATGCAAAACATTCTTCAGTTAAAAACTTGAAAACACAAACAAAATAATTAATTTCAATCTACCAAAAGTTTGATTTTGTGAACATATTTGCAGTGTCAAATTCATATAATATTATTGAAAGGTGCTTAAGAATAAATCATCTTTATTTGTGAATATTTTGAAAATATCGTTATAACAAATGTCTCAGTTCGTTTTTGTATAACCGATCATACTTTTGACTTTTGACACAATTATTCATTTCAGTTGATAGTCAATCTTGATTCAGCTTTCAATGTAAGTAAATTCCACGGCAGAAAAAGGGCAAATTCTGCAGGTATTCTGCCTGAAAATGAGTTATCCACGGAGCAGACATATTTCTACATCAAAAAGTAATTTCCACGATTTATTCTGCAACCGCAGAATCCAGGAGGGACTGTAATATGTATGTTATCCATTGCCATAACATTTTGTCATTGTGGTTCAAAGTTGATGTGACTACTTTCTGGCCGTGGACTGGTAGGTCACAGACACAAGGAACTCCCCTATGGCTGTAGGTATCAGATACGCGGACCTTCCTAATAACTGTAGGTCTCAGACACAAGGACATTCCTTCTTGCTGTAGGTCTCAGACACTGGACCTTCCTTCTGACTGTAGGTCTCAGCTACTAGGACCTTCTCTCTAGCTGTAGGTCTCAGCCACTAGGGCCTTCCTCCTGGGTGTACGTCTCAGACACAAGGACCTACCTTCTGACTGTAGGTGTCAGATACTAGGACCTTCCCTCCAGCTGTAGGTCTCAGATACTAGGACCTTCCGTCTGGCTGTAGGTCTGAGCCACTAGGACCTTCCTTCAGGCTGTAGGTCTCAGACACTAGGACCTTCCATCTGGCTGTAGGTCTCAGACACAAGGATCTTGCCTATGCCTGTAGGTCTCAGACACTAAGACCTTTCATCTGGCTGTAGGTCTCAGACACTAGGACCATGTCTTTGGCTGTAGGTCTTAGACACTAGGACCTCCCTTCTGGCTGTAGGTCTCAGACACTAAGACCTTCCCTCTGGCTGTAGGTCTCAGACACGAGGATCTTCCCTCTGGCTATAGGCCTCAGACACAAGGATCTTCCGTCTGGCAGTAGGTCTCAGACACTAGGACCTTCCCTCTGGCAGTAGGTCTCAGACACTAGGACCTTCTCTCCGGCTGTAGGTCTCAGACACTAGGACCTTCCTTCTGGCTCTAGGTCTAAGACACTAGGACCTTCCTTCTGGCTGTAGGTCTCAGACACAGGACCTTCCTCATAGCTGTACCTTCCTTCTGGCTGTACGTCTCAGACACAGGACCTTCCCTCTGACTGTAGGTCTCAGACACAAGGACCTTCCTTCTGGCTCTAGGTCTCAGACACAAGGACATTCCTTCTGGCTGTAGGTCTCAGCCACTAGGACCTTCCTCATAGCTGTAGGTATCAGACACAAGGACCTTCCTTCTGGCTGTAGGTCTCAGATACTAGGACATTCCTTCTGGCTGTAGGTCTTAGACACAAGGACCTTCCTCATAGCTGCAGGTCTCAGACACAAGGACCTTCCCTCTGGCTGTAGGTCTCAGACACAAGGACCTCCCTTATGGCTGTAGGTCTCAGCCACTAGGACCTTCCTTCTGGCAGTAGGTATCAGACACTAGGACCTTCCTCCTGGCTGTAGGTACCAGAGTCTAGGACCTTCCTTTTGGATGTAGGTCTCAGACACTAGGACCTTACTTCTGGCTGTAGGCCTCAGACACTAGGACCTTCCCTCTGGCTGTAGGTCTCAGCCACTAGGACCTTCCTTCTGGCTGTAGGTCTCAGAGACTAGGGCCTTCCCAAGGAGTCACATTCTCTGGCTATACGTCTCAGAGTTTGAGATCGTAGCACCATGATTGCTTTGCAGACTGGGGTGCAATCAAACACGCCTTTTCATTAACAGTTGAGAAAATCCACAATTTCTTAGTCTCAGTGATAAGGTTCAAGTTATCCCTTATTATGACCCACAATGAGAGAAATCAGGAAAGAGGCACAAGAGCCAGACTATGAGTTGTCCATTGTCAGTTCTGTAGGAATAATGTGACGGATGTGAGGACTGGTGTTGTCATATGCCTTGCAACATCAGCTTCATGTCTGTAGAAGACATCAGGCCAGGCAGTAGAGGGAAAGACATTAGCAGCCATTGCTGAACTGGGCCCTGATAAGTGTAATGTGAGAGATGCAGATTGTAGCAGAATATGCACAGAGGAACTGGATCTAATGTCTTCAATTTGACTGTTGGGTTGATGACATCTCAAGTAGGATTTGGTGACTTGGTTTAGGCTGAGTTAGTTTCTGAAAAAGTTTATCTGGGCTGCTGATG